TTATAATTATTTTTAATTAAGATATAATTATGGGCACTAAAATTATTTCAAAATTTTATATCATTATCAATTAAAAAATACAGTTATTCTCTAAAAAAATATAGTTATACGATGAAATATAATTTTTGTTGGTAGAAATATGATATTAATTTTTATTATTTTTATAGATTTTTGAATTTCATAGCTCTTCTATAGTATATACTATTATCTGTATTTTTTTTAACATATAATATTTTTGTTATAAAAAGAAAATTTACTGAACTATTTCTTTTATAGTGTGAAAAAACAAATAAATTTTGCACTATTTGAAAAGGATAGTTTATACAGAGAAATTTGAAAAAAAAAAAATACTTAAAAAAAAAAGAGATAATCAACTTGCTATAGCAGGTGTGATTAAATTGTAAATTCTGTATCCATATAGAATTAAGTATTTCTGTATAATAGAAAAAGCTTTTTATTTGTTCAATGGTTTGTATTATTTTTGTAAATTATTTCAAGTTGGTATTAGATTGAAGAATCATTTTGATCCCATTATTTTAATGATAAACCCATTTATAGTTTATTGATAGAGAAGGCAATAGGTGGACATATTGGTTTATTCATTGTTTTTGAAATTATGTTTTAAATTTTAAAAACGGTGTACCATATACCCTAATTTTGTTTGCTTTAAGTAAATATCATCGGTTCAAAATTTTTAAGATGTTGAACCTGAATTAAATTTTGAATTGCTAGTTTCAGTTCGATTTATATATTATTTTTTTTAAAAGAAAAATTTGATTGTAAAGTCATTTATTTTTCAAAAATATTAATATGAGTTAAAAAATATTGATAAATTTTAATTTAAATAACTTTTAGAATGCTTTTGTGCATATAAGAAATAAAATTAATTAATTTTACAAAATAATAAAATAAATTATCATTTTATTTTGTCCAAATATTATTAATTAAATAAATTATTAGAAAATTTTGAAAAATGCTTCAAATAATGTAATTTTGAAGTAAGTAAAGAATATAAAAAGAAAATAAAAAACGTTAAACACCCATTTGTATCTGACAATATAATTTTAAACTAAATATTTCACTTTTTTTTTTTACTATTTACTCTTTTAGATTTTTAACTTTTAAATGTATTTAAAAAAAATTAAGTAAAGTGTATTAAAAGATTATTTATACTTTTAGAGGTGTATAAGACAGGTTAAGTGGTTATAATTTTAAAAATAAAAACAAAAAATTTTTGATTCAAACCAAACTGATTTAAATTCAGATTTTAACATTCACATAAATCTTAATCGACTCTTAAACTATAAGTTCTACTTTAAAACTTCAAACCTGTAATTTCAGCCCGATTTTGATTTATTTATGATATGGTTAGACTTCAATTCCACTTAAATCTGTCGCGATCCCTAGCTTTAAGTGTTGATCTTCCTTTTACCATGTACTTGATAATCTTAAACCAATGGTGATGAGAGACCTCCAGCACAGAGACAAAACAACATAATGCCCCACTTTTTTATATCACAATTATTTGTAAAAAGACTTTTCAAACAAATATCTCGATAACCAAGTGCGTACTATTCTACTGTGCCGGCTGGATAATTATATAATATTAATTGTAGGTGGATATGCTTTTTAGACCCAGCTGCAACTTGAGTCAGGAAGCTCAGCCATTAAAAAAAATTTGCAGGGTTTACGACCAAAGCTTAAATTATAGATTTGATTTTTCAAACTAATTCGGATCGGTCCCTTCACTTTAGAGAGTAGTTATTGAAATAAAGTATTCATGGAATCAAATATAAGGGATAAAATTATTTATTTTTGAAAATATTGAAATAAAGTAGTTAATTATGATAAAAATATAAAAATAAAATAGCAAGTATCTTTATTTTAAAATATATTAATCCATCAATGAAATTTAATGTATTAAAGTGTAATCTAATTAATCTTCTCATTTATGTCGAGAGTGAGATATGTTATGCTTGAGATTTTTGACTATAAGAGTATAACCCTGTTGTATAACGTAGTTCACAATATTTTTATAACATGTTGAGCATCCTAATAAATTGGGAACAAAAAGAGATTTAATTTCGTTAAAAAAATTATTTTTTTCTGTCCAAAAGGTGTTGCTTTTGAGGATTTAAAAAATGAATAACATTATTTATAAAGGAGGAACAAAATAATAATTAGGATTAAATAGCATTTCTACCTAAATTTTTTCAGAAGGTGAAAATAAATTTTAAATCTTTATTTATTATATAAAATGCGGGGGTCATATGGTCCTTCCAAGTCTCCTTGCCATAGCCCCCATTTTGCTATCTTATAATAATTGCAATTAAGGAAGGATTATTCAGTCATTTTTCAGGGCCAATTTGGCATGTACTATCATATAAGTTTGGCATTATATTATCACATCGTGGATTTTGAATTTGAAAAAACTATTATATTAATTGTTAAATATATATAATTTTATGGGATTAAAGCTGAATTTTGGAAAAAAGATTCAAAAATATATTTGTTTGTCAGAAAGACTATTTCTTCGTAATTTTCTTATTGATCAAATTCTACTATAGTCTTTCAAAAAAAAAAAAAAAACAAAAATTCTACTATATATCCACAATAAAAATATTACATTATTAGCTAATCAGGTGGTGGTCTGATTGGTCTTCTTACTTATGTGAAAAGTGGAGGTGCCGAGTTCAAGTCCTCTCGGTTGTTTTCACCAATTTGGTGAGCCAAGAGGAGAGTTACCCCTTGTTGTGTAGCCACAATATTATTTCGGCCTTGAAAACCTCCAATCAATTAAAAAAAAAAATTATATTATTACTTTTAGGCTTTGTTTGAAAATCTTACATTAGTGCATTATTACTTTTCTTAGGCTTTGTTTGAAAATCTTACATTAGTGCATTATTACTTTTCCTCGCTATTTCCAAACAAGGAAAATCTTTTCGGTTTGATATTTCCTTCACCACTTTCTTTTACCCAAAACAAATCTTCATTTTCAAACAAAGCCTTAGAAACATTTTTTGACATTTAGCGTCAATCTATGATTCTAATTTCTATTGAAAGATAAGAGTCCTAAAGTCCCAGAATCTTTAAGGTACGCTTCCGACAAATTTGAGCAGATTGCCATACCTCAAAGTAATGTAAGTAGTAAAACAATTATATGCATTCAACTTTCATCAGCTACTGGAACTCACCATTTTGATATCTTCTTTATGAAGTGACCTCACTCGAAACTACCTTACCTTAAGGTGTATGATGTTTTGATTTCTTTATTGTATTATTACTATTTGTTATTAGTTGAATGGTTGTCAATTAGTATTATTAATTTGTGATTCATTTCATTTTAATTGGATTGTAATTTTATGGGTGAATGAATATGTTAAGATCCTAGATCCCACATTACAAGTATGGGATTTCATTGTTGGGTTTATATGAACTTGGACTCTCCAACCTCAATGGCTAGCTTTTGAAGTATGGTTCTTCCACAGTCAAACTATACAACAACAATATGATTATGATGTTTGGAGAGAGGAGATAGAATGCAAAGACGATATGCACGAATTGATAGCATGCAAAGAAGGCAACACACTGCATATTCCTAATACTTATGAAAATAATGATGATGAGCAGAAGATGAAGATATTCCAAACTGCGTTCTTCGTAAGTAGCAATAATATTTGTAGGGTTATTATTGATGAAGATAATTATAGCTTCTACTTGGTGGAAAAAACTAACATTATTGACTTACACACTCCAATCCGTACAAGCTTCAAATGCTAAATGAAGGTAGTGAGGTAATTGTTATTACACAAGTTATTGTTCCATTTTCAAGGGAAGGTACAGAAATGAGATATTATTTGTTAGGGATGATGAAAAACTCACAAAAATTGAAACCAACAGAACTAAGCAAAAATAAGAAATATGGCAGTAACAATTTTCTATTTCGATAAAAGAACAAGAATAACATGATTTTCCGTGAAAAACAAATATGTCAAAACAGAACAAAATAGAAACTTAAGTAAACGGAAACAAACGAAAATAAGCAAAAACAAATACAAGTAAATGGAAGCAATTGGAAACAAACAGAAGCAAATGAAAACAAATTAGCAGAAGCAAACAGAAACACGAAAGCCAATGGAAACAAATGAAATCAAATAAAAGCAAAATAAAGATAAATAAATCTTGATTTAAGCCTAGACTTTGATACCAAATGATTGGAACCCTAAGAATTACGTCTTGACACTCCAAAATCAGATTTGATATATAAATCCTAAAAATCCCAAATATGGAACCATGACTCCCAAATTAGAAACCATGATTCCCAAATTAGGAATTTCTTCTCAAATGAAATAACAGTTGCTAACCCAATACTTAGAAGTATGGAACAAAGATGTCAAGGTGAATGAACGAACATTTCAGAGATTGATTATTTTTGATTAGTTTAAAAATGAGTTCAATGAAGAACCAAAGAGAATTCGCCTCTCTTGAATTCAATCGTATGAAACGCATAAACTGATATTTGTATATTTATTACAATACTTAAAAGCTAAGTATTTATATGCTAAGAAACCCTAAAAACTAAATAAAACATAAAGCCCAATTTAAATACACCCAATAATACTAATTAAAAACATAAAACTAAGTAAAAGACTCGAGACCCATATGTTTGGATTATGTTAATTAGCCGTGGATCTTTTTTTAAGCCTATCTCTTTACTTGAGAACTTGTAGATCCTCGTGATCACCGTGTATTTGTTGATTTCATTACTTGACACACATCACTCTAGCTCAAATAAATTTTTAAAATTTTACTTTATAAGTTAATGAAGTCCTTTTTTTTTTTTCCCTTTGGTCCCCTTAATTTTGGAAAAGGAAAAAAAAAAAAAAAATTAGACCTCCCTCCTCCCCCCCCCACCAAAGCCAAAATATTGGATCCTCACTTCACCGCTTAATAAGCAAATAAGGAAAAAGAAATCAATTGAAATGAGCAGAAGAGAGATATATCACTAAATTTAGTTTTAATAAGAAATAATTGAGCACTAATTATGGAGATATATAAATAAAAGCAACTTATTTGTCAGTTATCATGTCCTTTCTAAAGAGCAGTTTTAAGAATGGAAGAATATTAGGGAGCACAGGCAAATCAGCTATGTTTATACTCATGAGATCAAAAGCAATACAAGTTTTCTTTATGCTTATCTCATCCAATGCAGGAATTTTTGGATATCTTTGGCTGAAATGGGTAAGAATGACACGATATGCAGCTGCAGAATCTCCCACTTCTATGGCTTCCTTAGTTGTGCTGTGGTTTTTTGCGATAGCTTCCTCCACCATGCTATCCTCAAAAGTTGCCTGCAATTCATTAACTAGTTTGTCAAAATGTTAATAAACCTTTTCTTTTAGCAGAGAACAATAATTATAGTCCTTATAGCGGGTGAGATGAGAGTTCCGGTAAATGAAGCCAATAAAAAGAAAACGACATAATCTACCAATAAAATTGAATCTGACATGAGTTTCTTATTCTTTTATCGTGCAACCTCCTTAAGTTGAATAGCCACCTAAGCCCCAAGGCAACCATGAACCAATGCCAGTAACTACTTTTTTTTTTTTATCTATTTACATTCTTAGTTTCAGCTATATTGATAGGATTCATATATTTATTTATTTATTTCTGAAAAATGTAACTTTTACTTAAAAAAGAAAGAAATGAATGAAAAGTGGATAAAGGTGAGTTTGACATCAATGCTAAATTGGCAGCAAAAGCCCCAACACAAGGGACCAATATAAATATTGCCCCATTGGAATTCATGATGTAAAATTAGAGCTGTAAAGAACAGCTAACCTAACACTATAATAGAAATTTTTGCATTTGATGTAAATTATGGGAACTAGGATTCTTGCCTCATGTATGAGAATGGTTGCTCCATGAGATGCTTCTATCACCTCCTGGCACGGCCTAGTGTCACCAGAGTACACAAGCTTCCACCCTGGTATTACCTCTCCAATAGTGTTTAGTCTTTTTGTTGCTTGCAGTACAATACCAAATGCCTCAGGACAGTGCACAACAGGAAAACTAATCAGTTTCTCCAGCCCTACTTCCCAAAGAACTTCTTTCAACCTCTTGAGTAATGGACAAGCTTCGCTTTGGACTGGAAAACTAAGTTTCATTCTCTTCGAACAGCCTTGTTTGCCCTCCCCAACAAGTGCAGTATTTACTGAACTCATGGCATTTTTATTGTTAATATCTTTGGCATTTTTTGGATTTTCTGAAAAGAAACCATTCCTACTTGATTCAATGTCTCCTTCAAAATCATTCCATGAAGCAATAGTAGTGTTTCTGCAATCAAGGAACTGCATATCTAGATATTCAAGTCTTTGATATGCATTAAGAAACAGTTCGAGCTGCATTGGCCCTATAACAAGCAACTGCTCATGGGGCAGTCCCTTCAACAGATCACGCCGTAGAGTAAGTATCCTTACTATACCCGCATGGTGATCTGCATGGATATGGGAAATCCAAATGCATCTTAAGTTTCTCACTGCATTATCAGCACCCTCCATGCCATATCTGTCAAGGTATAGAAGCTGTTTTGTCAGAAAAGAAAAAAAAAAACACACACACAAAGAGAGAGATTACAACAATATATTATCTGATTTGAACAGATTTTATGGCGTTACCTTCTTCTCAGTTGTGCAAGAGTTCCTTCCCCACAATCCAACAGCAAACTTCCTTTACAGAAAAGATTAATGTAGATGGAACTTACATTCCTATATTTAGAAGGCTGGGAAGAACCAGTTCCCAGCAAAACAATCTCCAGGTCATCTCTTCGAATGTTTTCCAGACAACAAAGGAGAATATTTCCATCCAAAATAGACTTTCCAAATACAATTGTATCATCTTGCACTGCAGTTTCATCCTGTTTCATTTCTCCAGGTGAGTCCCAGAATTTGCTTACCTGTTGGGCAACATCTGCAATCTCTGGAATCTCTGAAAGTAACTCATCAATGACTTTAGGGGGAGCAAAAAGACTTGGAACATTAGATTTGTCCAACCCAAGATGACAATTGGGGCGCAAAGTGAACTGGTCAACATATTAGACGAATAAAAGTAATATTTCAAAAGATTGGATTCATTGAATAAGCTAAAAACAATATGTTATTAATAGCAATCAAGTACAATTGTCAACCATAAAAGCTGCTCCAAAACCAATGCCCTAAAAAGCAGCCATAGAACGATTAAAAGAAGTCTCCTTTTGGGCGAAGCACTCAATATTTCATACATTAAACAAAAAAGTCGAAGTATTTGGATTATATACATACAACCACAAACAATTTAAGAATTTCTAATTGACAAAGAAATGCTTATTACTTAATTAGAATAAGAAAAAAGGATTTGGCCATTCTTAAAGAGGTTAATCATTGTGAGTAGAAGTAAAACTTCCAAGAAGCATTATTTGTTTAAAATCCATATTTACTAAAGGGTCTTATTTCCGGTGAATTGGGCACACTTTATGTTATAATAACAGTTTCCTTCCCATAATTTGGTCATGTTTCTCCATTTTGGTAAAGTTATTTAATCAATCTCTTTATTTTGTTCACTTTTAATCAGCTGTAAGTGAACTTTTGCTTTAATTTTCCATTGGTCTCACAGCAGAACTTTTCAATACAAAATTTGAGTTACAAAAAGGAAAAAAAAAAAAATAATAAAGTAGAGATCATGGTAAGCAGTTGGATGGTGTGACTTCTACCACAAAAAAACAAAGAAGAAAAGGGATAAAGATTTCTTCAAGAAAATCAGACATAAAAAGGCAGTATTTATTACATAAATGATTAAGAGATCATCAACTTCTTTGGACAAATAAAAGCTTTTTCATACCTTCAAGAGATTTTCAGCAGATATTCTTTCACAAAGTTTTGAGAGAAGACCCTGTATAAGTAAAACATAATCTTTTCAGCTGCCTCAAACTATTTTTATTACAACATATAGATGATTATTCCAAGATGTGAAGCAAACCTCAGTAGAAGTTAGGGATCCTAGTGGTGCATTATTATGTTGCTCAACAGACCAAAAGGCAGAAGCTGGGAAGAACTGGGGGCACAAGTAATTAAGTCGAGTAGCCATTCTCGCACTAGATTTTAGAATTGGAATTGTCACATGATTCCTGCAGATGACATGAGTACTTAAAATAAATAATTAAATATTTTAATCAAATTGCAAGAAAGTGATAAAAAAAAAGACTCACATTGCATGTCCAACCATAATATGTTGGGCTGAATCAAATTTCTTCATCCATTTCTCATAATTAACGCTGTTGACAACTGAAGGAGGAGTTAAATGAATGATACAATTCACAGTCTTGGCACTTTCTGGGAAGCACTGCATAGAATCTGAATAATAAGCATTAAGAGATTGTTCGGACAGTAGCTCTTCAACATGAGAATTTGTAGGGCAATCTACAATAAATACAATGGGACCAGGAGTAGAAGGACCCATTACATCACTTGGATGAACCTGATAATAATAATAAAAAAAAAAACAATTCATGCATTAAAACATAGCAAATAAAAAACTTAACATAGAGAGAAAAATAAACAGTTTTTCCTTGATATTGTAGCTCACCATGATATCGAGACAATCTGACTTAACAGCATTTCCATTTTGTAATTCTCTATATTTTGTCTTAACTTTTAGACCAAGAGCCTCAGCTTTTTCTTTGTTAAATTTGCCCATAACTTCATGCAATTCACAAACATATATGACAGATATATCACTATGCTTAATGTCAGATCTTTCCAAACAACTTGGTTGTAAGAGAATTGCTGATATTTTGACAACCCTATTTTCAACAAGCATGATCGGTTCTGTTAACCTGCTAATACTTTGTGAAGCTGCACCACTAGAATAGGAAGCTAGTTCAAAACTCTTTGAATGATCCATAGCAGCATGAGATATGAGGTGTGTATGAACCATGGCGGCGTGAGGGATGAAAGACCTCATTGCTTTAATCAATAAGTCAAGATTTGAAGGGCCCCATATGTTGACCTTGAAACCAACAGAAATTAAGCTTTTAAATTACAAAGGATAATTAAAGTCCATTTACTAAGGAAATAATTACACGGAAAAAAGAGGGTTAATGAAGTTGGTCAGATACCCACAGACATCCCTTCTCCCATGCCAGCAAGAGTTAGAAGAAGGCCTGTAATGTAAAATAAAAACTTGCTTATTTGGAGTTTGTGCTAACAACTAAGTAACATAATTGCATAAAGAATCTAAACATTACCATGCAATATCGAACTTTGAAAAATTATTGTATACCAAACTTCTTTTACGTGCAAACAACAATTTAAGACTACTACATTACATATAATCCCTCAAGCCACATGCACAAACCTGGAAGTCCACCGGTTGTCTCCGAGCAAACACGAGAAAGGCATATGTGATCAATCTGCATGAGGTCCAAAAAGTTAATTGCCTTACTAAATTAAAAACAAAGAGGTTTTAAATCACCTGGAACCCATGAAAACTAAAATTGCGCATGTAATTCGTACCTTCGATAGCTTAATCTTATGCTCTGCACAAAATCTTTGCAACCCCTGTGATAATAGCAGTATGTTAAGGTACATAATATTTTTAATTGTTTACCCTTAAGGACATACTTAGTGGGTATAATCATAATGATTTTGAGAAAAATCTTATCAACTAATAAAATCATTAGATATTGAAATTGGTGTGCCAATTGCTGCTAACTTGTGCCGTGATAACAAAACCAAGAGAATGAATAACTTAAATTCAAAAGGCCTAATGACCGAAAAGCCAAACTGTTTTGGAAAATTGCAATTGTACCCAACTTCTAAATTAGACATTCTTTAACCTAATTTTTAATTGTTAGTCGCAATTGTGATCATTTGGTTAAACTAAAATGACATATAATACACTCCCTATCATTTTTTCCAACCATATAACTCTTGAATGAGTCTCCCTCAATTGCAAAAAATGATGACGATGTAATTTTGATCAAGTGGGTATAGTTGCAACTAAATTTTAAAGGTTTTAGGATACAATTGCAATTTTTTGAAAAGATTTGGGATTTTTAGGTCATTAGGGATTCCTCCATTCTATCATCTACACGCTTCAAGGAAGTAAAAGATTTTGGTCTGATAAAATTTAGTCCACTCACTTGGATCAGAACATATATGACAGAGAAACATTGGTGATATAAATTAATCATTTGCAGATTATAAAGTGACATTTACTACATTATACAGTTCAACATCAGCTTGGTATTACGTAATTCCTCTGAAAACAAATACAGAATAATCAACAATCCAATTTGTGCCTTTAATTACTATGATTAACACACCAATAAAAAACAAAACAGTAAACATCAGTAAAAAAAAAAAAAAAAAATTCCAATAGGAATAAAGAATTCATAAACCAATACACTAATATAACTGCAAGCAACCATATGATTACCTCTCCAGCATTGAAAATGAATCTTTGCTTGTCAAAGAAGAGCAAAACTGAAGGCAAAGTGTCATGAGTATCCATTCCAGTGCCCAAAATCTACAGGAGATATCAAAGCATCCAACGTCACTGGTTTTCGATATGAACTTAATAAAAAAATGAAATTGTAGCAAGCTGAAGAATGAAAAAGCAAAGAAAAAGTTTATTCAAAAAAAAAAAAAAAAAAAAAAAAAAAAATCCTCCATTCTTCACCGTCTACACCGCCCTTCAAGGAAGCTAAAAGATATTTCGGTCCTTGATAACAATTTCAGTCACTCACTGGATCCAGAACCATACTATGACCCATATTAACATTCTTTATTATTAAAATTTACTCATTCCTGCAGATTTATATTAAAGTGACCATACAATCTACCTATCTATTTCACACATCAGCTTTGGTATTACGTACATCCTCTGAACAAAACAAATACAGACATATATCTATATATCTATATCCAATTTGTGCCTTAATACTTATGATCTAACACATCTCTATTATAAAAATATCTCTCTATTATATATATCTATATATCATCACGTAAAAACAAAAAAAAACAAAAATCTCCAATAGGAATAAAGAATCTCCATAAAATCTCTACTTTACCACTAACTATACAACCTGCAAGCACACCCATTTGATTACCTTCTCCAAGCATGAAAAATGAATCTTTGCTTTGTCATATATATAGCAAAACTGAAGGCAAAGTTGCTCACCTGAGTATCTATCTATCTCTCTATATATATATATTAGATATCTATACTCTACTCTCTATATCTCTATCTTGCGTCTTCGATATGAATCTATAAAAAAATGAAATTAGCAAGTGAAAAATTTATATATATGCCAAAGAAAAAGTATTCCAAAAAAAAAAAAACAAAAAATATATTAATATATATATCTCACCTGAACCTAGGCAATGGTAGACATGAACATTTATATATCTATCTATATTATTACACTTCGACTTGAAACATCTTATGGGCTTATTGCTTTACTGTTTCCCTCTGGCAAAAAAAAAAAAAAAAAAAAAAAAAAAAAAAGCTTACCTGAACATAGGCAATGGTAGAATGAACATTAGAATCATTCAATTGAGAATTCGATTGAAAATTCTTATTGGGCTTATTGCTACTGTTTCCTCTGGCAGCCCTTGCTTCATTGCACCCGTAAGCTTTAGTTCCTGCTACCATTTGGAGAGGCTGGCCTCTGTCTGCTTATTCGTTGCTTATTTGTTCTCCACAGAGCTTGTTTGAAGGAGGAGGGGGAGGCCAACGCAGCACAGGATTTATGCTTAAATCCAAATTCTGTGGGAAACAGAGGAAGTGTTTATATGGCTTTGGTTGGTTAACCCAAGCTCAATCTGAAAAAAATGGTGTGTTCCACTGTTAGAAGTAACCCAAGCTGCTCTAACTCATCTCCTTTTCTCTTCATCAACAACCTTATCATAGAAACAGTAGAAAGCACTAAATTAATTGAACAGAGAGAAAATAGAACTGAATAAAAAGGGAAAATTACTATTGCATCTCTATAAAGTCACTAATTACTAGTTGGTCCTCGTCTTTTTTAAAGTACACTAAAAAATCCCTACATATCGATTCTATTACACTATTTAGTCCTTCCATTTGTTTTTTATCATGTTTTCCATTTGTTTGGGTATGAAAGGTAATTGAAAGGTGAGAGAAATAAATTTAATTACACAACTACTCTTTGTATAACTATTCTCCATTTACCTCTCTTTCTCCATATCTCACCTCTCTTTCTCTCCCCCTTTTAATATTTTATCTGTTGAAAATTGTGAAACCGTTCATATAATCAAAGAAAAATTAATTCAAGATAATTTTCCTTAAAAACAAAAACAAATTAGCCAAATTTTTTATGAGAAAAGGTGAAGAAGAAAAAATTTCCTTCTGCCGCCACCACCGTCACCTCATCCAACCCGTGTAAGACTCTTTAAAGCTGAAAACACCAAGAAAAGGACAAATTGCAAAACAGAATCCTCAAGACCAGCCTTAGAAACCTGACCTGTGAACTAAACAAGTTGCTTCAGTATTTTATTTATTTATTTACTTGCCTTCAGGCCTTCATCAATTGTCATATCTAACCAATCTCGGGTTCCAACTAACCATAGAAAAAATGTGCTCTAAACATGACAAGTCTGACATTTAAAAAATAACAGACACCAAAAGGAACCCAAACAAACAAACCATGGACTTTCAAAAACATAACTATAGTCCAGTCCATTAAATGCAAAACAATATATTGATTAATCAAGCTAATTTATAAAATCATTATCAATAAAATTAATACTAAGCTAAAAGCATATTAATTTTCTGAACTACCTTAAGAAGAAAAGAATGTGTGTCTGCAGCTTGCTAGGTCACCAGTTTCATATTAACTTTTTCAGTATGACAAGCCAACACCAGCAGGAGAATCAAAATAGATAATATTTGAAACCTGAAAATTATTAAGAATAGAAATCTTAATAAATTTACTTCAGCGGTGGTTTGTATTTCTTTCAAAATAGTTCTTTCTTATACTCTTAAAAGCAAAAACAAACATACAAAAGCTTACGTGGAGAGTTGTTAATTTTGGAAATTTTATTAAGACAACCATTCTGCGCACTCCTATATAAATTTTAAAACCTTAATCTCTTTTATTTAAAAAAAAAAAATTCATTTGTACTGAAAGAAGACCTTTTTAGCACCTAAAACCTTTTTCTATAGGTTTGTAGCATTAATTAGTGAAGGTAGTCAGTGCAGTAAGACCCCTCTTTCTTGGTTTGCAATTCAATTGCATAAAGTGGATCTTCCTACTTGCTGTGTTTTCTGCTCTTTAATATCCTTGCTATACCTAATCATCAAATCAAAAAAGACTAGCAAATCACTATTACTTCTAACCTCATTTTAATATGCATATTATAATTACTATTTCAAGGCTGAAAGCATTCTATAAGGGGAAAAAAAAATTAACGATTTGGGCCTCCAAAATTCAAAATGCAGGAAATTTGCTGGTCATGAGACAGTGTTGTGATTATTCATGCTATATTTAGGTGCCTAATTTAACAGTATAAATTATGTATTTGGATGCTCATATTTTTTTGTTGGGTCTTATAAAAAGGTAAGTCCATATTCCTTTTCCACGAAAAACAAGTACTGGCTCAGACTCAGTAATGCCAAACCGCTGTTCACTTTGAGCTAATAACACAACTAAATTTCTATTGGAATCCTTTTTCTAAGAACTAAAACTTGTCAAACTAAAAATCCAACCGTTTAGCACTTGGAAGTCCAACGCAGATTAATGATTAATTATATTATACAGACCTGCTCCAACTCAATTTCACAGCAGTGCCACCATGGCTGCTGCCAAACATAGCAAAATCCAATATCCTCACTAAACCTCGCAATGTATACATCAAAATGATCAAAATCTTACAAGAATTTCGATCACAGTGTTCGTTTTCATAATTGTTTAGCAATCTAGTCGAATTTAAGCCTAAACAGTCACTTAGAACCCTAACTATATCATTTCAATAAAAGCAAAAATTTGTTGATGCAATATGATCCACAAGAGAGTAGAAGCTATTTTGAACTTACCTAAAGCTTCAAGACTCGTCGGAGATGGAGATTCCGGTTGGAGTTCAAATCTGCAGTCTCATCCTTTTTTTCTCTAATTCGAAATTTCAAGCCATGGAAGTGGAAGAATAAGGGTTCAAGTGATGAGAGAAGACCGAGAGATCAATTTTGTGGCTTTCGACGCTGGTTTATGGCCGGTGACCGGCCGAAAAATGGAGGAGATGGTCGCTACGATTTACCGATCAAAACGTCAAGCGAGAGAGAGGAGAAGGGGGATTCTTGGTTCGGTTTTCATTCCTCTCCCTCATTGCTTAACAGACACTGGTCCGGTTCAATGGTTTGGTTCGATTTAGTCCCTCTTTGATTTGGATGGTTTTCAATTTTTCACGTGGATTTGGATTTATTTCTCTTTGGTTCCTTGGTTCAGTACTCAGGTTCAAGGTTTATAATGAAAATATGCAATATAAATCTCAATAATACAAATAAAATCTTACATTGGGAACAAAATATTAAAAGAAAAGAATTTTATTTTATTTTTAATTGAAAAGAATTTTAAATTATACTTGAGATAGGCATGGTGAATTCATTAAACCACTGATAGCGGTTCGCGAAACTGACGGTTCAATCCTTTTAAAATATTGAATCTGAATTTACCCATGAACCACCAGTTCCGGTTCGGCTTCAATTCCACCGATTTCGATGCGATTCTGATCACAATCACCAGCTATGTATGTATTATTTTTTTCAAAACAATAAAAATTTAATTTTAAAGTATTTTTCTTTTGGAAAAAATTAATGTGAATTTAAAAAATTATTGAAATTTTATTTGAAATAACTTTTAGAATGCTCTTACTCATATAAAAAATAAAACTACTTAATTTTATAAAATAATCAGATAAATTATCATTTTATCTTATCTAAATGTTATTAATTAAATAGGTTATTAGAAAATTTGGAAAAATGATTCGAACAGTTTAATTTTGAACTAAATAGAAAATTTAAAAAGAAAAAAAAAACATTAAACTCCCATTTGCATCAAACAGTATAATTTTATACTAAATATTTCACCTTTTTTTACTATTTATTTTTAACTGTTTAAGTAAAGTGTATCATACAGTGAAAAATTATTTTGACTTTTAGAGTTGTACAGAATATGTTAAGTGACTATAATTTTGAAAATAAAAATAAAAAATTTTTTGCTTTGAATCGGATCTAACTGGTTCAGATTTAAAATTTAACATTCATATGAACTTTAACCGGCCTTTAAATGGTCGATTTTGGTTCAAAAATTTAAACTGATAGTTTCAGTCTGATTTTAGTTCATCTATATGATTTAGTTTCGATTTCAGTTTGAACCAGACCGAAGGGAGGCAATTACTATTATTGTCAAAATGGCTGTCCGACTCGGTTCAGCGCAGCTCGTATGGACTCTCGATCCCAAAACAGGCCGAGCCAAGAAAGCTCGTTGAAAACGGGCTTCTAATATTCAAGCCTAGCCTTGCCCGCGCAGGCCCATGGATGGGATTGAACATGTCCGTTTTCATAGTCTGTCTTTTTTTTTTTTTTTTTTATAGCCTTGCCGCCGCGCGGCCCCCATGGATGGGATTGAACATGTCCGTTTTCATAGTTGTTTTTTTTTTTTTTTTTTAACTTTACTACTTTTTTGAATTTCTATTAGTATTATGTGTCCCTTCAAAGAGCGCTGACGTGGAAAAAAAAAACAAAAACAAGCTCTCTCAGTGAGTCTATGTAAATTTTGAATTACTAGTATTTTTTTTATGATGTAATTTACACGTTGACTATGCTCATTATATATTTATACTCTTTTAAATTTTTTTATCTGTATAATATTTAAGCATAAGTTTTTATTTATATTAAAAGAAATATGATTGCTTAAGTTGTAACGGACTTTGTCCTACAAACTACTTATAATCTTACTTCTTATGTAATCAATTTTATTTTTTTATAATGAAGTGATCTCAAAATAAAATTCAGTGCAATCCTGTCACGACCCAAAATCGTGGGCCGGACTGACACTAGAGCCTAGGTAAACTTAAGGCCCCGATGCCCGTAGTAAGCTTAAACCACAGCATTCATACAAATCAAATGAATTTTTAGAAACAATAAGCCCATATTATTTTTTATATATCAAGTAATCACTCATTCTTGGCCAATCTCAAACATCTCAAATAAAATATAGTTCGGGCCTATTTGTATTGCACCTCGTTCAAAATATGAGCTACTGATTCATATGTGTCTTAGGTAAATAATTAGGACATTCATAGATTTACATACCTATTTTAATACAAGAGTAGAGATACATAACTCCTACAACTGCGGAGTTCAATAATAATTCGAATTAATAGAGTCCAAATAAATAAAGATACATAATTTTTAAGTAACTACTAAAATTAGAAAATTTACTTCTTTAGCCTTCCGGTGAAGGGTGTAGAGTTTTAGCCTAGACAACGGGGATCCTACTTCTTGAAAAGTTAAAATAAAGAAAAGTGAGTCTTGCAACTCAGTTAATAATAATAAATAAAGATAACTCAGGCATTCACGCGAAATGCATCTTAAAATACTAAAATGAATACACAACCAATCAAGCATATGACACAACATCAGCACCCACAAGTAATTTCACTTTCAAGTAATCAAACAAGTGGAAATTGATCAATGGCGTCACCGAAACCCCCGATGAGCTATCTTCACACATGGCTCGCCCTCTCAAACGTGTGCACCAGAGAACCGATCCCCATATATGACCAATTGGTCTAATTCGCACTTGACCAGACCTCTCATTTTTTAATACTTTCTTTCTTTTCCATACCAACAGGAGGTCATCCTGTGGTTTATCTATATCAATCATACATAGATCCATACGGCGACGCCAATCTCTCCATACATGGCCAACGATATCGTAGACCGTTCTCACAAACCCATGATGACCCACTTCATTCTAATTCTAGACAAACAAGGCACAACAATTTTCACAGCAGAAGTAATCAAAAAATTCATTCAACATAATGCACCAAAGCAATCCTTAATGCACAAACATAGAAGTGTAATTATATATTAATAATAAAATAAAATAATAGTATACATATAAAAATAAGTACTAAGTTATTTCTTTTGTATATATTTCTTTGTAAAATAAATGATATGTGTATGCAATTATTAAGTTTTACAATAAAATAATAGTATACATATAAAAATAAGTACTAAGTTATTTCTTTTGTATATATTTCTTTGTAAAATAAATGATATGTGTATGCAATTATAATATGCACTATTTATTATTAATCAAGTGGTAGAGAATAGAAGAAGCTCTAACTCAGATTTTGACTCGAAAGAGCAGTAGACAGGCCCGGACAATCTAAAAAATTTAAGAATATAAGGAAAGAATTGCATCAGACAAAAGACTAATTTAAATAAAGAATTATAGAATTAGTCTAATAAATTATTTGCGTATCTAACTGCTATAACTAGACGAGGTTCTGCCAAAATTTCGACAACATCTCCCTAAAAATTAGACTAACCACCTGTTTAAATATCAATAAATCCATCCAATATTAACTCAATCCACATAGCCCATCCATTGGACAATCAATCAAATCAAATTCTCATTTTCCTTTAATCTCAACATCAACATTCAACATTCAACTAACACAACCGTTTTACATAAACTAAAGTTATGTTCTAAATAATATCACCCATCATTCCTTATAGACTTATATATATGTACATATATAAGCTTATACGTTTGAATAACTTCCATCATTAATTTATAAATTAAATAACTTTCAATTTGTCCCAAGAACATCATTAACCATCCTTTAATCATTTACTACAATTCTAGATTAGTCACTGAGAACCCATGATTCCATTAACTTACAATTTAATAAATGCATCTTCAAGCAACCCAATTCAAACTTAAATATATACCAACATCAACAAATATAAAAACATCGAATATATACATATTTATTTCATGTTAACTTATTAAAAGAACACAACATATTTATTTCATGTTAACTTATTAAAAGAACACAAGATATTCGAAATAGTTGCTGCCTACTGAAGAGATATATGTTCCTTAACTTAGCCTCATTTACTATGCACAAAACCCATATCGCATTAAAAATTCGACTTACGATTCCATCTGGTTCATAACACAATGATAACTCAAGTTTTAGCAATAATAATTACTATCATAATCATGCTATACTCATTCTTAAACTAACATTGCCTTGATCACACTAATATTTTGATAGGCCACGAAGATCTTCTAGGATGCCTATCAAGAATAAGAAGTATCTTGACTGAGTCCTCATTTTACTGATGCTGCAATTACTTAGTTGTTATTCTTTTACTTTTTAATATTTTTTATGCTTAATAAGAAGTCAAATTGCTGTTGAGATTTTCCAGCAATTCTTGACTAAAATAAAGCTCATATTGTGCCATTGTGGCCTTAGAATAGGTCTGAGTTTGTTTCATTACTTTCTCTATTTATTCCTTTGTAATAGCTGCAGAATTCATCAAGGAAAAATACACCAAAAACTTCTCATTCTGAGAATTAATTTCCTTGGCTTTGACTGGGACCTATCAGTGGTATCAGAGCCATCTATCCTAATTTCTTCTTTTCTTCCTCTTTCATGGCGACAAACAAAGAGCGAATTGAAAATTTGGAAGTTGGCCTTGGCCAAAACTTCTCATTCTGAGAATTAATTTCCTTGGCTTTGACTGGGACCTATCAGTGGTATCAGAGCCATCTATCCTAATTTCTTCTTTTCTTCCTCTTTCATGGCGACAAACAAAGAGCGAATTGAAAATTTGGAAGTTGGCCTTGGCCAGCTCCAAGAAAATTTATCTAGAATGGAGCGAGGACTTAGCGATGAACTGCAACAAATCAAAGCAGCCATCACTAAATTCTCTGAACTTACACTTCCTAGCAGAGATACGTCTAGCAGTACAAGTGACCGAATTAGCCAAAATCACACAACCACGATGAATCCAGAGAGGGAGGGAAGCCGTTGTATTCTCCGAAATTGGCAAAATTGGAGTTTCCGAAATATTTCGGAGACTACCCTACTGAATGGTTCACAAGAGTGGATCAATTTTTCGAATACCAAGGAACCCCAGAATTAAAAAAAGTGTCCTTGGCCTCTTATCACCTTCTTGGAGAAGCAAACGAATGGTGGCAGTGGCTTCGCAGAACTCACACCGAAGCAAGGAAAGCAGTAACGTGGAAAATTTTCTCTGAGGAATTGTGGTCCCATTTTGGGCCCACTGATTGCG